TAAAGGACAATGTCAATAGGACAAAACAGCAACCAACAGATTGGGAAAAGATCTTTATCAATTCTACATCTGATGGAGGGCTAATATCCAATATATACAAAGAATTCAAGAAGGCAGACTCCAGAGAACCAAATAACCCAAATAAAAAAATGGGGTACAGAGCTAAACAAAGAATTTTCAATTGAGGGAACTCAAATGGCTGAGAAGCACCTAAAGAAACGTTCAACATCCTTAGTCATCAGGGAAATGCAAATCAAAACAACCCTGAGATTCCACTTTATACCAGTCACAATGGCTAAGATCAAAAACTCAGGTGACAGCAGATGCTGGCGAGGATGTGGAGAAAGAGGAACATTCTTCCATTGTTGGTGGGATTGCAAGCTGGTACTCTGGAAAGCAGTCTGGTGGTTCCTCAGAAAATTGGACATAATACTACCTGAGGACCTAGGTATACCACCCATAAGATACTCCAACATATAACAAGGACACATGTGCCACCATGTTCATAGCAGCCTTATTTATAATAGCCAAAAGCTGGAAACAACCCAGATGTCTCTCAACAGAGGAATGGATACAGAAAATGTGGTTCATTTACTACTCAGCTATTAAAAACAACGACTTCATGAAATTCTTAGGCAAATGGATGGAACTAGAAAATATCATCTTGAGTGAGGTTAACACAATCACAAAAGTGATTGATATATACTCACTGATAAGTGGCTATTAGCCCAAAAGAGCTCAGAATACCCATGACACAACTCACAGACCATATGAAGCTCAAGAAAAAGGAAGATCAAAGTGTGGATGCTTCAGTCCTACTTAGAAGGGGAAATAAAATAATCATAGGAGGTAGAGGGTGGGAGGGATGCTCCCAGGACCCAATGGGGATGACATTAGCTGAAATACTCAACAAAGAGGAGAGAGAACCTGTAGAGACATACAGACCCCGGTTGAAGGATGGGGCCACCCACTCATCTTCAAATTTTTAACCCAGAATTGCTCCTGTCTAAAGGAAATACAGGGACAAAGAGTGGAACAGAGACTGAAGGAAGGGCCATCCAGAGACAGCCCCACCTGGGGATGCATCCCATATGCAGATACAAAACCCAGACACTATTGCTGATGCCAAGAAGTGCTTGCTGACAGGAGCCTGGTATAGCTGTCTCCTGAGAGGCTCTGCTAGAGCCTGACCAATACAGACTTGGATGCTTGCAGCCAATCACTGGACTGAGCACGAGGGGGGTCTAATGGATAAACAGTAACAGTGAAAAACCTAAAAGCAAACAGGACTATTTTCTGATGCATGGCTGGTTTTCCAGAGGGTAGCTCTGTTCCCCAGGCCACAGATGTTCCTTGAAGATATGCTTAGCACTACAGAAAATTATGAGAAGTAGGTCTGAGCAGAAGAGGATTAGGTTGGCATAGAGATGTCTTTCAAGGGGATACTGGAACCAGCTATTGACTCTCTGTCTCTTAGCTACTTCCATGTGTTGAACAGGCTACTCTGCCATGAGCCTGACACTGTAATGTGTTGCCCTGCTGCAGGCCTGAAGGTAAGAGGGCTAACTGACCATAGGGTGTAATCTCTGAAATGATAAAGTCACAATAAATTCTTTGAGATAACCATCTTGTATTTGTTCAGTAGCAAAACTCCCTGGCTCAGTCGTAGGTGCACTTTGGCAGAGTCTACTCTTCCTTACAATTATGGTTGCTTTACATTTAAGGTCCTATAGGGATCCACAAGAAATTAGTTAAAAAATATAATTTATCCTTGCAAAAACAACTTTGGAATGGTCACGATATTGCCATACTGTTTGAGACCACAATGAACTCCCACTTTCTTTCAAATGAATTGAGATCTCTGCTAAAATTTCACCACAACAGAAGTTAAAATCCAGTTCAAAATGGAATCTCTTTTCCATGGTTTGATGTTTATATCAGGCAATACAGGTGATATGTGTCTTAACCCATTCCTAGATAAATGCTTATAACTAAATCTATTTTCCAAAGACAATAATAGATGATTCATTTATTAAAAATATTGGCATGGGTAAATAAATACATGCAAACGAAATGTCCTGAACAAGAATAGTTCTTGGGAAAGATCTAGCAGTTTTTCTTTCTCATTAGTGTTAGGATCTCACTTTGGCCATCTTCACAGCTGATTTAGCTACAGTCTTGACAATCATAGGGTGGTCTGATGGTCTGAGTCTCCTCCACCTTTCCCCTACTTTGTATATAAGTGCCCATGTGCAAGGGGAAATATTATGAGAAATGGAAGTGTATTTGTACCATTCTGTAGGCAGACTCCAGCCCATCCAGCAGGCAAGAACCTTGTTTCATCTCTGTACACTTAGAACTTGAACTGTCCCTCTATGTATCATCTTGTCTTTTCAACACACTGATCACTTCCCAATAATTATTTAATTTCTTGTCTTTAAACTACTCTATACTTTAATGAAACTGTAATAATAACCAATAAAAAAGCAACAAGTGGATCAGAATCAGAGAAGTTAGTCTGGAAGACCAAGAGCCAAAAAAATTTAGAAATCTAACCGTGAGTTGGGCTGTCACTATCACTCATTATGTTTTGTGATGTTCTGGCATGCAGGCTGCCACCGAGGACCATCTGCAGTGTGGTCTTCTTGGTCTCTTCATTTAGGCTGAGTGTTAGAGGAAGCTCACAAACTGACAGCACACTGAACAATTTCACACTACTTCACAACTTCAGCATGACTTCACTAATAATCTTTATCTTTTGACAAGTCCCTGGCAGTACATATTAACAACAGCCATTCCAAAGTGTCTCCTCTCTTCACAGATCTAACTCTTGACAGCTCAACTCACTTCCTTTGGTTGCTTTACATGCAAATCAATCATCTTAGAGGACTTCACCTCTCTATTAGGTAAGGTATTCTCACCTTTTGCTTTTCTTGATGTTTTACCTATTCAATTGTTGATGTTTACAATCCATTAGGTGAGGCACTGTGATTCCAAAATTTCTGCCTCTAGCCTTATGCTTCCAATTTCCCTTCTGGAAATTCCTATAGACAGTCCAAACTGGCCACTCATTTTTGGTTTCTTATACTATTCTTCTCCTTGACATTTTGTCTTACAACCAATCTAATGTTGAGTATGCATCACAAAGGAGCAGGGACTTTCACAGCTGCCAAGGGCTCAAGAAGAGATCTTCTAGAGTTGGGCAACCATTGGCAAAGTGCCTGATGCTAACTATTTTGTGGCTTTTGAGGTTTCTGTTGCTAACTTATAGCCACCATTGTGACTTTGTCCAGCAAAGATAATACACACGGGCATGGGCTACGTTCAAATAAAACTATTAAATAAATAGATGGCAGCCACAAAAGTAATACTTTCATAGGTTTTTTTTTTTTTTTAAATAAATCTCGGATACTTTTAGCTGCTGGGAATTTAGCTTTGGATAAACTAGGCAAGTGCTCTCCCACTGACCCACATCTCTAACTCCAAACTAGGCGGTTTCATAGATAGATCAAATATTAGCTTTTGCCTTTCAACTTAAATGTTGAGCATATGTTATTTATTCAAAAGCTGTATTTATGAAATGTAGCAACTCATCGCTGATTCTAGTATCCCTTTGCCAGGACAAAGAACTGACAATAAATTATTCATAACCACCAGTTTAATTTAAAAACCAGATAATGAATATAGTGCCACAGAATTTACTTCGTGATAATTTATCATAGTATTTCTCCTAAGTTTTAGGCAACTTAATATTTAAAACACTGGCTTTCAACTACTACACAGTTTTCATCACACAGAAGATTATTTAGAAACTCATTAAAAGAAAAGGACAGGAGAGAGTGACTTTGTAGGAGAGAGGGCCTGCCCTGCAGTCTGACGACCTCTTCTTGGCATCCCTTCTTGTGGTAACCCTAGGGGCCCTCTTGCATTAAATGAAACAATAGCCTCCTAATATTTTGGATCAAGAACTTATTAGATTATGAGCCATTTATACATATTTCCCATCCTACACACTAATAATCATAGCATTAGCAAACATTTTAAGATTCAGTATACATTAGGAAGAAGTTAATCATGAATAATAATGGATATCAGTCTATTTTTCTAATAGTTTTTCTGAGAAGTTGGAAAATTTTATGGCTGAATCACTGCACAATCTGGTAGCTGCACTGAATTTATTTCTGAAACAGAGCTGATGAACTCCAAATAGAGGCACTACTCTTTTCTTATTGTTCATAATGTTTGCCTTTATTACACTTAAATTTATTGAATGTGTGTGTACATGCGCACACGCGCGCGCATGCCCGCATGCAGATGGTGTGAATGTGGAGGTCAAAGGACAAATTGAGGGAGTTGGTTCTCCTCTTCAAACCATGTGGGTCCTGGGTATCAGACTTAGGCTGTCAGGCCTGGTGGCAAGCACCTTTACTTGTCGATCCACTGTCCGTTTCCTATGTTTAACATGGATGGTTCTGCAATAATTTTTGTAAAGTCACATGTTATTTAGTTTGGCTGCAATTGGAAAACAGAACCTTCAAATCCACTAAAGTGGACACATGTAACTTCTGACATATGCATCAAATGGAGAGCAAACAGCCTAGTGAGAGCGCCTGTCCCTTTGTGACACGTCCCTTTCTGACACTATAGAGCTTTCCCACTTCTTTTTTTGTTGTTGTTGTTAATTCATTTATTGTAACTGACATGTGACATAAAACAAACTGAAGGGAAAATGCTAGATATTTAAGTTTGATAACAGCAGTTCTAGTCTGTTTTTGAGGCTATTACCAGGAAACATCACTTCATTTCAACCAAAGGGAAAGAACTACTCTCTAATTAGTGGGAAGAGTCAACACCTACTTTTCATTTAGTTTCTTCTCCTAGCCAAATCCCTAAAAGCTAATACATGCAGCACATCAGACAATCTATAACTAAGCCAGACTTTGTTATGAAATTCTGGGAGTCAGGGCAGCTAAATAAAGAGTTATCATTCTAATGGTTACCTGCAAGTCATTTTGTGGGTTCCAGTCAGAATCAAATATGATGCAAGTATCAGCAGCTGTGAGATTGATTCCCAGGCCTCCTGCTCTGGTGCACAGAAGAAAGACAAAGCGGTCTGAGTCTGGCTTACAGAACCGGTCGATGGCTGCCTGGCGCAGGTTTCCCCGTACTCGCCCATCAATTCGCTCATAGGTGTATCTGAGGGGACCCAAATGAATGAAAGCCCAGCTGTTAATCACGGTTCAAAGAACAAACAATTAGGAAGCTACTGCCCACTGGCTTCAAATATATCACTTCTAAATTTGGATCAGTTGACAACAGTCTCTAAGGACTCCCACCTCCTACAGAAGGAGCAGAGCAGATTAAAATTACACTGAAAATGTCTTCCTTGTTAAAAAAACAAAAACTAAAAAAAACAAAAAAGAACAACAACAACAACAAAAGCCAGTTATAAATCAAGGATGCTTGCAAGACTTAAAATCTGAAAATATGGATCCCCAGTAAGTTGTCCAAAATTTATTCTCATGAATTTCCCAGTTTATACTTGTAAAGAACACCATCCTACAATTTTCCTGGCCGAGGAACAAATATAAGCCTTAACCATTAATTTTAGCAGTGCTCATAACTGGGCTCAGAGTTGACATCTGTTTCCAGTTGCTCAGGGCACTTGGAAGTGGTAAGGAGCCTGTATTGCCAGGCCTGGGCTACGAACTGGTGATGTTTCTCAAAAAACTTTAAAGGTGCAGAGCCTCCATGTGTACAGTTATACCACAGAAAGAGCTTCTAAGATGTGCTGGCAACAGGAAGAGTAAAGACCATGAAGAGGACAATGGAGTGAGATGGAGGGCTCCTGCTTCAAGAGATGAGAAAGATGTGGATAGCATGATGGGGTAAAGACAAGAGTATAAAGAACAGGAAATGAAGATGTTCAGGGACATATTGCTACTGATCATTCAGAAAACAAAACAAAACACAGAAGAACATTGTAGATACTATGAAGTTAACAGAGCAGTAATGCATAGCAACAATCTTATTTTTCCTGTGTCTTTTTCTATCCTTTCTGTTTACCCTACTAACAACAAGTGAATTTATATGGATGGATAAGTTACTCTCAGCACCAAAACTGACAAAAATTCAATGGTGAAGTAGAAGTAGTAGGAACATTCTGAGAAAAACACTGAGCCTGGGAGCTCAATGGTTTGCACACTGGCTGCTTGTGCAGAAGACCCAGTTTGATTCACAGTTAAGTATGTGGTGGTTCACAATCATATGCAACTCCAGTTCCAGGGTATCTGACACAGTTTTCTGATCTCCTTGGGCACCAGGCATGCACATAGTAAACAGACATGCCTATAGGTAAAATATCTTTACACAGAAGAAAAGTAAGCATGAAAAACTGTTTTTAAAGAAAAAGACCAAGTAATCTGAAGCCAATCAATGCCAAGACCTTGAATCAATTCAGGAAAAAAGTCTCTAACCCAGTGAGGTAACTGGTAAGACTACATAAAGACAGGCAATGTAGATGACTCTATGTGGGATGGCTTTGAAAACAGAATTTGCTAAGACAGCCCTGATTTGGCTGAGAAAAGAAAAGATATATGTGAAGAAACCAGCCAAGGAAGTGAATGGAAAGAAAGCTAACTGATGAAGACTTATACTGCAACAAAGAAAAAAGCAACACTGAGACTGTCTTCCCCTCACATACTCACAAGGTAACCAAAGGGTGGATGGTCTTTGTTACTGTTTTAAAATTAGAATACATCAAAGAAGAACATTTTATGGAGCCACAGCCATAAATGCCAGGAGAGGCTGGAAATTAGACTATTAAAAAACTGACCAAAGAGATTTTATGACATAAGACAAAAAAGACTAAGGATTAGCTGTAAGTATCTTAATCTAACATTTGTAACCACTGTTAACATTGACAGAAGCAAGTCCTTTGGTGTCTGCTCTGGACCAGACACTATGTATGCCGTACATGCTTGATTACGGATTACTGTATTTAATTCTCACAGCAATCCTATGAGGTATTTCTATCATCCCCCTCACTCCCCACCTATAGAAACTTCACAGCAAGACAATCATACAAACAAATCAGCATGCTCAGCCACAAGCCGGTAACCAATTTGAAGACAGATCCACCAGATGATGGTTCTCACAGTAACCCACATTTCAATGCTGAACAGAGAAGTTTGCTTAAGAACTAAAAAGTGTAATTAGAGACAAGTTAGGGACACTAGTACAGTTTGGGAACTTGAAACTCTGACTGAAGGCAGACTCAGTATACCTAAATATCCAAATGGTGCTGATCAAGCAATGCTGCACTCTGTACTGGGCTATGTGTAACGGGGCAGAAGGAACCCAGAACTTAGTGAGAAGACAGGGCTAGGATTCTATTAAACAACAGCGTCCTTCCCTTCTATGTCAACAAGCAATGCTTCAGGAATAGAGGACAAGACACCCTTGAGCATCAAGGAAAAGCCAGAGGCCTGTGGGTCCTAAGTTGGAATTGGTACAGCATTTGGGAAGGAAGAAATCAACAAATAGGGGTGATGAAGCTTGACATCATGAGGAGAGGGTGTGTGTGTGTGTGTGTGTGTGTGTGTGTGTGTTTTCTCCATAAAGTAGAGAGCATCCCAGCAGCTGCAGCAACATAACAGCTTTCAGACGATATGTGTGCAGAATGGCTAAGGATTCCCACTGTCACTTGTTTAGTTTTGAGGGAGTGCTCTTAAAGAAAAAACTAGAAATGGATTATGTGAACTGTGAGATCACTCTGCACTCTCTCCCTACTACTAAGCCAGATCTTTTGGCAGTGCTCCCACTTCTGTAGGAAAGTCTGGCATAAAATTAAATGAGGACAACAACCTAACTGACAGTGAACAAAGGGAACCTTGAGGGCCAGTAAGGTTGAAGAAATCAGATACCATGAAGTTTTCCACACTAAACTTCAGCAATTAACCCTCTGTAACAACTGTATTTTGACTGAGATCCCTAGGATCTAATGTGACTCATCAAGCTGTAATACTGAGAAACTGTAATATGTCAACAAGAAGCAAGCAGCACTCTGGAGAAACCTCTGACAGGCTAGGGGGTGGGGACAACATGTTTTTGGCACAACAATTGTTGACCTCAGAAGACCTGAAGGAAAATGAACAATATTCTTTTCTCCCAGCAACAAGGAGTTCACTATGTATGTATAAGGCAGGTCTCAACAACAGGTAGGTAGGTGATCCTCCATATTAACTCAATAGTGTACATGAACGGCCTAGGAAGATACAGAGAGTAGCTTGTTTCTCAGTTTTTCAAAGACATCGATCCTTGTCTATTTAATGTATAAAAGTCCAATAAAATTCTATTGTGAATATATCTCTCATCCCTCTTTATAAAATATATATGTAAACAAATACATTGTAGTTAAAGTCTAGAATGGTTACAAGTAAGTTTATAGAATAATTTTAAAGTTTATCTAGAAAAATGTGAGCAAAATAATAGAAAATTTTAAAAAATATTTTTTATTTATGTGCATATGTGTCTATGTGTATGCTACATGTGTACAGGTGCTGTGAAGGCTGTTGAGTCCCCTAGGGCTAGAATTACAGGCAACCATGAGCTGCTCAGTGTGGGTGCTGGAAACTAATTTGGGTTCTCTGTAAGAGTAGCAAATGCTCTTAACACTGAACCATCTCTACTGCCCCAAGAATAAACACATTGAAAGGAAGAATGAAAAGAATGGACATACACCTAGCATTTATAACACTTCAATAAATGTTATAAGTAGTATTTGATAATAAGTGTTGGGGGAAAGATATCCTATTTTATTCAATAGAAAACTAGACAATTAGACCTATTTGGAAAGAAAGCAAAGTTCTATGGATATTATTTCTCAAAATGAAAGGCTAAAAAGAGACAGCCTTCAGGCATGAACAAGGACTTGTGAAGGGTGTCATGCTATATATTTCATATTTTCAAAGAGAATCATAATTCTTAACTGGAACACAAATTAAAATGAACAATTAAGGAAAAACAACCTAAAAGAGAGCTTAGTAAAGACTTTTATTTCCAAGCCTGTTCATCACACTGTAATTATCAACACAAAACACCACCCTCAACAGTCATATGTAGAGTAAGGTATTTATAAAAAGCAAGTGCTTTAGCAATAAGCTTGTAATCTATAGTGAACTGACAAGCTACCCAACTGTTTTGTTGGTTCTGGTTTAGAGCCATCAGCTTCCCCTCAAAGTTTCTACCATGGTGCTCAGAGGACTTTCTTTATTACCTACTCTGACTCTGAAGAATGACCTGTGCATATTAAAGCCAGCACTTCCCTCAGTTAAACCTGTCATTTCTCTCAGTATTCTTTCTAGAAAGGGATTTAATTTATAAGGACAAACACAAATTTCAAAGATAAGAATATTTGCTAAGATATCAGAGACCTACTCCAGTTTTCCTACTTGAGAAGAAAGACGTGTATTGCTAACACCACTAACTCTAATGATCTTGTGAACTTGTATCTTTGCAAGTGTATTCTTAAAAATTTATCATCATCTTCAGATCACTGGTGTATTACAGTGACAGAGAATCTAAAACAGTATGAGGAGACCAGGGCAGTTCCTTCATGAATCTAAATAATCTCCACGATACCAGACTTCTCACTTGTACAGTCATGAAAGTCAGGTCCAAAGAATTACAGGGATAGAAGTAAAGAGTTGGGTACTACCATTAGTGTCACAAAGCCTCAGGTCCACTGGTGGACAAACAGTTCTTTCTGAGTTGTTGGCTTAAGTCCTTCAGAAACTTAAGGAGGTGACATCTTCCAAGATGCACTTCTATCACACCACAAAAAATGTTACTATGCCATTTTCTTAGCCTTTCCTAATGCTACTGCAACTCTATTTCTCCCAACTGAAGTTAAACATAAACCAGCGTGGGATTTTTCTGAAGCAAAACAGTAACTCGACATTATAAAAGCTATGAATTTATTCCAGACAGGTAAACTTGAGACTACTTGGTCCTACCATTAGCAATGGACTTTTTAGTCAATCTTTAAAAAGATATTCCTTTTCTCTAATGGTGAATGTTCTGTTGTTCAGACCTATGCACGTGTTTGTTAAAGAAATACACTGCATGCAGTGGTGGGTGAGTGTGCCAATGGAGGAGTCTCACCTCCTCTGGATGAGATAATCTTCCAGGATGTCGAGACAGCGCACCATCTGAGAGAAGATGAGCACTTTGTGACCGCCTGCAATGAGCTTGGGGAGAAGCTTGTCGATCAGCACCAGCTTCCCCGCTGCTTGGATCATGGCCTGCAGCTGGAAGTCAGAGGCTTCAGAGCTGTGGGCTTTCCTGAAATCTTCCAGAATCTTTTCCTCTGCCCCTGAAAAAGAACAGACAAAAGCATTCTTGAGTAAGATGTAATTAAAAGCTGTTCTTCATGTAGAATCCTTTCTTATCTCCTGGGGAAACAATGAATCCTGACTTAATGACTCTAATGGACCAGCAGTAAGACTACAGGTGTGGTTGGCTCTGCACCCCTAGGAGTCAGTTTGCTGTAGCAGGAGGGCCACCTTGCTTTCCTAGAATTCCTTCTAGGAAACTCAAAGTCAGAGATGTCAAGTTCTAACCCAACTTACTCAGGTAAAGAAAATTATTCAGGGAGTTTTCAAAAAGACTTTCATACTTCTTATTACTGCATAATTAGCTATAAAAGAATCCAAGCCACACTACAATCAGAATTCCTCAGAAAGCTTTAATATCCCCTTCCCTAAAAAAGCCCCCCAAAACAACAACAAAATCCCAAAGCCAAAGAAAAATACCCAAACCTAGATCAATGGAGATGGCTTAGTTGGCAAGACCTGAGTGTGATCCTCAGCACCACATAAAAAGATGGGTATGGAAGCACACGCCTGTGGTCCCAGCACAGGGGAGGAGGAGGGAAAGGAGGATACATACTTGGGCTTCCTAGCCAGGCAGTCTAAATTTGTAGACCCTTGATTCAGTGAAAGACCCTGTCTCAAAAACAAAGTACAGAGTGATCGAGGAAGATACTAGATGTGCATCTCTGGTACCCACCACCAACACCACCCGCCTTTTCCAATTAGTCAGTGTGACTAATATGACTCAACTTATACGCAGACTTCTAATCTCATTGCTGCATCATCATTCATTCAACTAAGTAACACACTTCTCTATTCTATGGCAAAGTTTGGGTTAGAGTTCGGGTCATAAGGGCAGAAAACTGATGGGTAACACCCACTTTCTGCCAGGCAGGTCTACAGGAAGCCCTGCAGAAACAGAGAATTGGTATAAATTATATTATTCAGGCAGATCCATCAACCTCTCTGAGGCTCTGTTCTATACTGTGAAAACAAAACAAAACAAAACAAAACAAAACAATGTTCTAGTCTAGTATACAAAAGAACTTAGCACAGACAGGCCTTTCTTATCACTGGCTTTCAGCAGAGACCCATGCCTGTCCTGAGTTACTGCTCCCAATTGCTGGACTCACCATTGATCAGGTAGGGGTGGTTACAGCATTTTCTCAGCTCCATCATAGTATTGATAAGATTGGGCATGTTGTGCTGATTTGCACCTTTGGTTAGGAAGGAAAAGTTTTTCTCTAGGATAGCACGATAGTACTTTTTCTGGATATTGGTCAGTTCTACTTCAATGATGGTCTCTTGTTTAGGAGCAAGGTTCTTCTCCACATCATCTTTCAGGCGCCGAAGCATCATTGGTTTTAGGATAGACTGCAATTTCTTTACCTGTTCAGGAAAAGGAAAGCAATTTATTTGCCCCAGTCTGGACTAAATGATCACTATGGTATGTCAGCATTCACTATAATCTCTTCAATATCATCATAGTATTGAGGTCATAAAAATGACATAAAATGTCATAGACTGATCCCTGAAAATGGGAACCTTAGAATAATATCTGGAGGAAAAAGGGATATGGTTTCAATCCACAAATTATCAAGAACCTATGTGGCAACCTCTTAAGTGATATAAAAAGGGAGAAGTCAGTACCTATTCTCTAGGATGGAGAAAACAAACCTTTCTTGTTCTTTTTGTAACATACATACATACACACACACACACATGCACAGAAGTTATATGAAGAATATTTTGTCTTGTTAGAAGGTACAAATGATACATTAAGAAGAAGACTAAGACGCTGAAAAGGACAGAGTTAAGAACTTAGAGGCGCTCTGAAATGGAGCTATCCTATGCCTTTTAAGTAAGAGCAGCAGTATTCATGTTTAAAAGTAGGAGTGTATATTATATAGACATATCATGGGAGCTGTCACATGCGGGCCATTCAAAGCCTGGTAGTGTTCTTTGCTATATTCTGGCTCTGTGTCTAAGAGCCCACATCTACACAAAGATCTCCATTCACTAGACTGCACCAAAGGAACTCTCTCCCTCTTCCAGAAGACAATGCAGGATGGGTAATTCAGAGTCAAAGCACCTGAGTCAATCTACATACAGCTTAAGTGTGGTACCAGTAAGATCAACCCTGATGAGGAAATAAAATAAAGACAGGAGACTACAAAAGACTCTAGAGTCAGAAAGGGCTGGCTGTTCAACGTTCCTAAAAGGGGCGGGACCAGCTGTAGCTTCCTGAAGTAACACAGTACCACTTGTGGGAAGGTTAAAGAGATACTTCCTGAAACAGGCTTTAATCGATGATGAAAAGGCTTTTATATTGTAAAGCAACACTTCTGAGCTTATATGTATTGTGTTTTAAAATGAATATTTCTTCAAACAATAAGTAGAATGGTGATTATCAGAGAGTGGGTCTGGGGAGATGCTGGTCAAAGGTCATACCATTTCAATTAGACAGAACATAGTCAAGAGAGCTACTGTACAACATGGGAACTATAACAACAATGTATTCCTGAGGACTACGGTGACAGTGGATTTTGAGCATTCTCACCACAACAAGACAGTAATGTACTGTATAGATTAAGTAGCCTGATTCAGCTACTCTAATATGCATATATATATTTCAGAGCATATTATAAACACACAAAAAAATGCAATTTTTGCATCAATTAAAATAAACCAGAAACCTAATGTATTTTTATTCTATAACTAACCCCAATTTTAAACCTAGTTTTCTTCAGACCTTGATTATCCAAAGGCATTTAGGAATGTGTTTCCCCAGTGGGTGAAGAATTCCTATGTAAGAGCCTAAAGAGGAAAACAGAGCCAGCTAATTGTTAAGGTACGGACAATGTCAATCTGCCACATGCCGGGTTCAGCTTTTGCCCTTCACTTGGTTCATACCTGAATCACTTAGAGTATACTACATGCCAGACACTGTGCTGGTCAATACAACAAACACAACTTTGGAGAAGATGTGGGCCTTGTCCTCAAGGAGATCATTGTCTAGGAAGAAGAAAAAATGCATACCACAAATTAAGTGCAATGGGAGAAGAGGATGTATTTCCAATGGTCCAAAAATGGAGAGTGGGTTGGAGCTGGCTTTTGAAGGATCAACAGATATTGAAATGCAGAGGGGGAAAATTACATGTGCTTTTAAATTGTTTTTTATTTTTATTTATTTTTACTGTTTTCAAAGTCTGACTTGCATGACAAGTAAAAGCAACAGACTGGAAACAGAGTACACTCCTGACATCAGTTGACCATAGAATCAAACCTTTGTGGTCGCCAAATTTTTTTACACAATCACACTTTTGCACTGTTGCTCATCAATTTAGCAGAACTATGTCTTTCTTAAAATAAAAATGTGTAAGACTTCTGCTACCTTCTTGCTTTTCAACCCCCATTTCAAGATCTTCCAACAACTAAAACTCTTCTGGCTTTACTTGTTCTCCAGTCATCCTGTTTCAGCCCGACCAGAAGATCTGCCACTACTTTTATGAATTTCATGGCCCTCATTATTCTGAGCTCTCCCTTTCATGTAAAGTAGTCATTCTTCTTTTCCCATCATTGGAAACTTACCTATTGTAAAAAATTCTTAAATTGTACCCTCTCCCTTGTTCCCAATTCTTAAACAGGTCTGATCTTTCCTTTTACATTCCCAACTCTGTTATTTTGTTCGTCTTATAGCAATTTAAACTTGTCTGACATATTCTTGTAATTCATAGTAAAGATTTCTATCAACAATAGATGAATATTAATATTGTTTTAAATTGGGTCCAATAAACTAGACTGTAACAACTCTTCAAAAGCTGGGAAAGTCCAGGTAATCGGTACAAAATCAGACTCAGTTACTCCATATATATGACTGACTTTTAAAACTCACATTTGTGTAATGCATAAGCAAGAAGAGAGGCCCTGGATGCTGCAGAGTATGGAGCAGAAAAGACAAAGGAACGAGGGAAGCAAAAGACAACAGCTTGCTCCTGAGGCCAGACCTACAAATCACACCACTGAGAGTACAAGGGGCCTACAGTGAAGTAGGAGGCCTAATAATTCTTATTAACAACAAGAATTGCTAATAATTACGTGCCTTGTCAACATAAACAAATAAATATACAAAATACAGGAGGCAATGCTCATTTTATAAGAGTAGGAACCTTAAAAAAAATCCTGTTCGCATAATGGCTTGCACTTTCCTTAACCAGCATACTGTCTCAATCCTCTAGACCCTAATTACCTGTTCTTCTGTTTTGAGATCACCAAATTCCTCTAAGAAAGCAGTCTCTGAAGGAAACTGTGAGGGCTCCAGAAAGTTTAGCAAACTGAAGAGCTCTTCCACAGAGTTCTGCAAGGGTGTTCCTGTGAGCAGCACTTTGTGTTCCTATAAAAATCAGAAACAGACTGTGAACCATGTTGGAGCCACAAAAATAGCACAGGTTTGTGGTGAAAAAATTAGCCAGGGCAATTTGTGTTCAGTTTTTGGTAAATATTTAATGAAAAGATAGAGTGTCAATATTGCATAGGTGTAGGTCATGAATAGGCTGACTTCCCTTTCACATCCTGATTTCAGCAGCATTTCATGAAAACTAAATCAACCATTTGTTCACTCAAAATCATTAAGTGTCTATCGACTGTTACAAGACGGTAATTTTTAAAGACTATCCTCAGGCTGGAAAGATGGCTCAGCAGTTAAGAGCACTAACTGTTCTTCTAGAGGACCTGGGTTCAATTCCCAGAAAACCACATGGTGGCTCACCAACTATCTATAACAGGATCCAATGCCCTCTTCTGGTGTGCTGAAGATAGCTACAGTGTACTCATATAAATAAATTCAGGACCAAGAAACAAACTGTAAACACCCCACAGTTCCAGGTTACAAATTTTATGTTATTTTAGTGCTTTCTAAGCCCCTCTGGGAATCAATCTGTGGCAAAAAGGATGTGCAGAAGGCCATGGAATGCGCCTTCCATTCTGAGTAGAAGACATTTATGTTTATGTAAAAAGCTAACTAGTTCTCACCAGGGCCATGAGCTTTAACCCTTCCAGAAGTTTGCAGTTTCTATTCTTCAATCTGTGGGCCTCATCAATTATCACACAGCTCCAGTGAATCTTCTTCAGCTCTGGGCAATCTGCCAGAATCATCTCAAATGTTGTGATGACAACATGGAACTTGAAGACTCCTGAAAGGGGGTTTCCCTGAGGATGACAAGCCATAAGCAGAGCTTTACACCACAGCTACTGAATCCTGCTAATAGTAGACTTGAGAGAACAGCACAATTCAATGACAGATGAGAAGTCAATATGCCCTGTTTTCTCGCATATAAAAAATGAAAAACCCATAAGGATGAACCAGCTGTTTAGATCTAGAGAGAAAACTCAGAATATCAAAGAAATGAATTTATGTGTCATTGGCCTCATGAAGTTAAGACAAAATGAGGGCAACAGGGAGCTTTTCATTTCTTAATTGTGATACTAAGGAAAGCAGCCAGGACGACTCATACATTACCTCCAGCTGGAGTCTACCTAAGACTAATACTTTCAACATTCAAGAAAACCCTTTGCTATATAACTTTTCCCTATAAGTCAGGTTCTAGCAGACTGCAATAATGGTGTGCATGTACCTAGTGCAAGCACTACTGGACAGCCTGCACCCTTATCTTGCTATTTGTCTCAGAGCTACCCAATATTAAAACAAGATAAAATGTCTGCCAAGCAATACCAACATTGTCTGAAACCCTGGTTTTCCTCTGATTATTTAATTTTTACTTTAATTATGGTAGTCAGTGCCCAGTAAAGTACAGACCCATACTTAGTAAACTGATTACATATAACAAAAATATAGAAAATAAAGTTGTGTTTTCAACAACATGAAACCAATTTTTACCTTTCCCTATCCAATTTCTTCATTTTCCCTACAAATTCCCTGGGCTCAAATTCTAAACACCATGCATTTTTTTTTTAAAAAAAAGTTTTTTGTTGTTGTTGTTTTTGAGACAGGGTCTTACTATGTATATGTAGCCTTGGCTGGCTTGGAACTTGCTATGTAGACCAAGCTGACTGCAAACTCAAGAGATCGGCTGCTTCTGCCTCCCAGGGATTAAAGGAGTGTAACATCATGCCTGGCCCACACACTTACTCTTATTTTCTTTACTAAGTACATAACAGTCGAGACAAAATCTTTTGCACACAAAAGCAACTTGACAGACTAGCCAATAAGCCAAGGTGTTGAAAAAAAGACCTCAGATATACCTCATGGGGATAAGAAAGCATCTCTTCAGTCTGTGTTATCATAGTCTTACAAAGTCAGCTCAGCAGACAGAACTTAACAAACAAGCCAACAACAGCTCGAGGTACAGGGCTGGGGCTCCTGAAGGCAAGTGGCAGAAAGGCAGTTCTGAGGCTGGTGTCTGACCTTTCGGTTAGAGGGGCTCACCTGTGCATCTCTGTATACCATCTCGTACTGCTGGATCATCTGCCTGCTGATCTGGCTGCCGTGGTACACAATAGCATTCATCTCTGTCCATGTCCGGAATTCTCGCTCCCAGTTAGTGATGGTGGAAAGAGGGGCAATGATGAGAAAGGGGCCATGGATTCCCCTGACAAAGATTTCTGAAAGGAATGCGATGGACTGGATGGTTTTCCCTAGGCCCATTTCATCAGCCAAAATACAGTTTTTTCTGCAGAGGGTAAGAAGTATGTGTAATTCATTACCAATATAGGGAAATTACAGAGGCTAGTCATAACTAAAACTCTGACCTGTAAGGTTAGTGAAGGCTTTATAATTTCATAGCGATCAAATTAAGGCTAGTTTTATAATTATTTAGACTCTGTCTATGCCAACTTTTGAGAATATTTATAAAACAAAGCTTTTAGAATAGAAACTAAAAATATTATAAAACAATACTAAGGGGGAAAATGTCAATAATCTAAGATGGATTATTTAAACTTTAATTTTTAAACTAATTTTTTAAGATAGCATACACATCACTGTGTATGTCATTATTTTTGGTTCTTCTTGTCCCTGACCTGGTGCTGTTTTACATTTCCCTACAGAGAGCCTGTCTTTCTGTTTCTGTGTCACACGTATTCAATTGTACTCAACTGTACTCATGAAGTAACACCTGCATTTCTCTAAGCCAGTTTTTAGAACTGCAAACTTCCCAAACACTAAAGTAAAGATGGGAAGGAGTCCCTCTGTGTAGCCTCTGTGATCAAAGGACAATATGTCAACCTACATAATATATTCCTTCTCATCAAAGACTAAGAACATTGCTATCTTCTGGTGATGAGAAGCAAAAGTGGTGGTCCTGGAAGACAGAGTTACCACATCTGGTCTCACTCCCTCACTGTTCAGATCCAAGACCTGGTTCGGCTAGGTAAATTATGCTCTGGGTCACATTATAAGTAGCAGAGGCTACAGCAGAACATTAGGAACATGCATTAATTTAAAAATAACTGAATGGGATAAAATAGCCAATCATAAGAAAATCTCAACTTATGTTTTCCAGATTTCATCTGGTTCCTTTAGATTCTAACAAGAACCAGAATAGAAGTAAGTCACGGCTGAGTGTTATTGCAAAAATCCAGTAATCTATTAAACGGAAACAAATGGTGGAGTGAGTCTAGAATCTAGAAATGCTCTCCTCTCTTTCACAGGCTTTAAATTGAGGAGCATTGAGCATAAGGACTTAAGATGTGTGGTGTCACAAAACTGTAATTCTAGCACTTGGGAGGAAGAAGAAGGGGGTCCGGAGTTTAGGGTTTTCTTAGTATACATACTGAATTTGAGGCTACCTGACCACATCAGACCCTGTATCAAAACACTGAAATGCAACCAGCCGGTGCCCACACTCGTAGCTTTGCTGTGATCCTCTGGATCAGACTGTGCCCTCTACTCATTTCTCCTTTTGTTGTTTGGGAATAACTCCAGATTGGGGCAGTGCTGCTCTGCCACTCTTCTGAGCCTCAGTGCACCTCAGATCAAGGCAACAAGACAGCTGCAGTGTGTGAGCACCAACTGGCTCAGGACCCTCACCTGTTGTACCAGTTGAAAAGAAGCCAGTTCATCCCCTCGAGCTGGTACTCCCTCAGCCTGTTACTGTTCTTATACTCACGCGATGTCTCCAGTTTCTGCCACGCATCAGAGGCAGGTCGTTCCTAAGGAGGGAAGAGAGAGCACAGTGCACAGAAAGGTGTTAAACACAGCACAGAAAACCATGGGCAAGACAGCAAATCCCAAATGCTGTTCGAAGGACAGATTCAAATTGCTGTTACTTTTCTTAATGGTGCTACATTCTCTAAATTTTACCAGATTATGAATACTTCTATAAGTTTATAGATAACAGACCAATTTATATGTAGTGTTAGACAGTGTTGCTAGGCTCCTGGATGCTGTTCCCATCTACACTTCCATTTCCCAACAAGCTAAGATTACTTGAGTTTCATGGTTTCTCTAACAGAACTTTGTATTTGCTTTTTGTTTGTGTTTACTGTATCAGCTCAGTAAAGGACAATGTGTAAAAACAAAAGTTATCATATTAAGAAAAAAACTCTTTATAATCAAATTACAAATTCTTTTTTTTTTTAACCCCTTACAAATTCTTTAATTCCCCTTAAGCATCCTTACTCTTTTATTTTGCCATATGAAATACCAGTTTCTAAAACGCAGTCACCTTGTGAATACTAATGAGGCCACATTATTATATATAAAGTTTTAAAAAAGATTGTTTTAAAAGTATGCTTGTCTATCTGTATCTGAGTGGGTATGTGCACATGGGAAAGAGCATTGCCTGGATGTCCAGAAGTGAGTGTCAGATCTACTGCAGGTTGGAGTTACAGGTAATTGTGAACTGCCTGACAAATGGACCTGGGTTCCCTCTAAGAGCTCTTAATCCTCTTAACCCGCATATATTAAGTTTGAAGACAACCATGGAATTGTATCTATACTGTTCATTATTTTTCCATAGGCTGTTTGTCTACTACTGCAATAAAACTATTCTTTAAACACTGAAGCTATGTATCTGATGGGGAATTATTTTTCATCGTTATCTTTGCTGAGGTAGTAGAGATGGCTTAATGAGTGAAGTACTTGTCATGTAAACATGAACACCTGAATTTGGATATCTAGTACCCCACAAAAAGCTAGGCACGGCCATGTACATCTATAATGCAGTGCTGAATAGGGAGACATACGGCAGATATTTGTGGATATTTTGAGATTGGTCACCCAGTTTAGCCAAGTGTTAAACTCCCTGTCCCTTCTCCTCCTGTAACAATTATATGTGTAAACAAACAGGCAAATAATGTGAAAATCAACAGAGGAAAATATGTGTGCACATATACACAAGAAATGACTCTGCGATTGCATCTTACTATTCTGTATAAGTTTAGACTCAATTTTAAAAAAAAATTACTATTGGAATTTCAGTTAAGATGATAGTGCTTACTTATTGGAAGACTATTTAAATCTTTATATATTGAGCTTTCCTACACACAAATTTTATTTATTTAGGTTTCATATTTCTTATTTACACATAGGCACAACTTTTTAGCTTATAAACAAATTAAGTGTCTGAAGTGACATTTTAAGATCTTAAATCCGGCCTGGAGAGATGGCTCAGTGGTAAAGAACAGGAGGTACATTTCCAGAGGACCCAGGATCAATTCCTACCACTCACAAGATAGCTAGCAACTGTCTGTGATTTCAGTTCCAGCAGATCTGTTGCTCTCTTCTGGCCTTTGCAGGCACTGGGGGTATGGGTGGGGTGGTGGGAGTGCATGTACTGCACAGACATTCTTGCAGACAAAACACCCACACACATAAAGTATAAATAAATAATCTTTAAAAAAAATCCTTAAATCCTTAGCTATCAGTTAGAAATGAGGATGCTAGATTTTCGTTTGTCTATTTATCAATTTTAGTCTTTACTTTGAATTACTACAATGTGTTTACACCTAACATACACTATTAACTAAAGCTGAGTCATTTGCGTGTAATATCTGAAAAATAACTTCCATTCTGTCATGTATACTTAAGTTTAATAAAGCTATCCATGGTCTTCCAGATGTGACAACTCACCTACAGATCACTTCTGCTGTGTGTGTGATACTAAGCACTCTGCAATGGGAGAGGTGAATGTTATCAACAGCACATTTTTAGTCACCATTTATTTCAGCTAAGAATGTTAAATGTACATTTCAGTGAGAATAAGCTAGGAGAATGGGAGAAGTATAAAAGGTCACTGCAGCTCACTAAGAGAAAGTTACAAGGAGTTTTTAGAAGTAAAGGAGGAAAACTTATTATGCCAACGCATCTCTCTCTTTAGAGAAAAGTCTCTGAACATTCCTATTCTCACTAGCTACCCTGTTCCCTTTATAGAAATCACTTCAGAGCTTTCAGAGCCATCCAGCCTGGGTCCCTGGAGCCCATGCCACTCAGGCCACTGGGAACCCTCTACCTGGTAAGGTACTAAGGTTTTCTGAATGTTTCCTCTCCTCTAGTGACTCGATCAGTAGCTGTCAGCACTGCAGATGCCATCTGAGAGGGCGCTCCAGTACAACAGCAGCAGTCCCTGAGCCACTCACCACTCTGCACTGTCCTACTCCGTATTCAACTGTCCGAATGTCAGTATGGACTGGATTGTCTGAACGTCCTAGTCATCAAGACAGTTAAGGTTTAAACTTTGAAACCCAGAGCAAGAGTCTTTTAGTAAAAAGTGCTATTTTTTTCTCAAGGTAATTTACTCCTTCATTTATATACAAAAAGAGAGATTTAGTGATATTTTCAGCCACCATTTCAGTTCAGAATTTTTGAGATAAAACTTCAAAATGTCCATTTCAGTGCAAACAAAAAAAGCTAGGAAAAAGGGAGAAGTATAAAAGGCCATTGTTGCTCACTGAGAGAAAGACTATGGCAGCCTCACAGCTGCAAAGCAGTGAAGGGGAGCGAGTCTCTGACACCTGAGAACCCCTTTTCCTGCCAAAGACTGTACAGGCAGGCTGGAGAATCCACATGGGGGCTGTGCTGAAAGAACAGGCTGGAGTTCTGCTGACTTGTAGATGGTCCATCAGCCTCAGAATGAACCTCTCTGCTCCTACAGTGGTTTGTTTTTGTATCATGCTTCTCATTACAACTGGCTGGTGCCATTTTTCTCCATATGTATTTGCTCTTTCTAGAAGTTTGAGTTCCTGGGTCAGGGACTGTACCCTGAGGTTTTTTGTTTTTTTGTTTTTTAAAGGTATCACATATAACAAGCCTTTAACAGATGCTTAATAAATGACTGGCAAATTAAAAGCAGACAAGAGTACATTTAGGAGAGGGCCAAAAGGGAGGTAATCAACCACATAGAAAACACACTGTGAGCTGTGTGAGTTTCTAATTACAAGTCTGTGTCTTCAGATGTTTCTATACATTTTTATTTGCCATAACACCAAAACCAAACACTGACAGGGAAATATGCTTAATTGAGTCTTCCTAGTCCCACCAATGAAGCAAAATTAAATAATTGGCTATTTTTTTATAAAAATAGTGATAAAACAAAACACAATACCAAAAACAGATCACTAAAGCCTATAATGACTTCTTTTTTTTTGTTTTGTTTTGTTTTTTTTTGTTTTTGTTTTTCGAGACAGGGTTTCTCTGTGTAGCCCTGGCTGTCCTGGAACTCACTCTGTAGACCAGGCTGGCCTCGAACTCAGAAATCCACCTGCCTCTGCCTCCCAAGTGCTGGGATTAAAGGCGTGCGCCACCACCGCCCGGCATGACTTCTTTTTTAACAACTCATCTTTTCAGGATGGTTCTATCCTAACAAGGCTCTGATTCCAACTCTGCCGCCTTTTAATTGTTGATACGCCATGTACAAATGACCCAGAATCAGAAGAGCCAACAATAAACATATCCCAAAATTCTATGCCTTTTCTTTGAGGTTCTAGGCATCCACGAAGGACCATTAAGGGCCACTCATCTTAAGAATATTGTAGTTGAGTTGGGGGGGGGGGTGTTAAAACAATGAAAAAAGACCATTGAAGGAGCAAGAGAGTCAAAATATGAAGCCACACCCATCTCCTCTGCATGCCATGTTACTGGCACCAAGGGATGGCTGCACACTGAGAATTCTAAGCCCAAGCTTCTTACATGTTACACATGCTAAAACAGACCAGAGCAAGTGCTGTGCAGGGTGCAGATGAAGTACGTCAAGGGGAGGGAGCATCAAAGCTAAGATACTGCAGAAGCCACTCAGAAATCCAGTCAAATACACATTATTATTTCTAATTTCAAAATTTTGTATGTTATAAGAGGTGTCAGACAGATATGCTGATATATTACCACGTGCTTAACTTCAGGGAGAATTTGTAGAGATTCAAATTCTTTCACTTTTGCAGGATCTACATCTTCTTCTAGCTCCCAGGTGCTTTCTTCATATGGCAGGGAGCACCATTTTACCAGGTAATGAGTTACTTCCTGGTGGGAAAATACAAGAAACTTGGTAAAGTAGTCAACCATTCTTTGTCAGCCCCTGAAAAGCCATCCTGCATGAGAACACATAAATGCCATTAAAACAAAGACCATTTGTTGACAAGACACATAATGTGTGGAAAGAAGTGACATGTTTTATGAAAGGCAAATGGCAACACACCTACCTCCCCTGTTTCTGCATCCTTGGTGTGAGCCACCTCTAAGATACGATCAATTTCTATATAATCTGGATTGAACAAGTCTTCATCAGGCTAAGGGAAACAGAGTAGAGTTAAGATGTGCAGTTTTCTTTCCTCAACTCTAATAATCAGTGTTTCACTTTTAAGCGGCTCCTATTCTGGGCTCTTTTCAGAAAACAGGCCGAAGAAGTGTGCTTGAGAATAAGTCACCTCACAGAGATTTCTGAAAGACAGTCCTCAAATTCTGTTTTTCATGACTAAATTTAAAGGATCCAAACCATTACACAGTCTGAAGCATGGCCAAGGAAGACCTTCTATAACAATATGGGAAAGCCAGGTCAAGGGCTCCCTCTGTCTTACACCTCACTATCCCCTTGGTGATCTGGAATGATAATTTTTTTGTAACACTGATAAAGTTCTATTTTCTGATTTCTGTGGTAGTTACACATATTCTATTTTGTAAAAATCAACTGGGATGTACACTTTGAATTTATTTGCATATTTATGCATATTATGCTTCCAAAGAGGGATAGACTAGGTCACATTTAAAAGTAGTAAATGTATACCCCAAGTTCTGTGAAGTGCTTCCATTTAATCCTCATAGAAGAAAAGGTTCTACTAGTACTTTATGCCTGCACGAGGGGGAGATGCTGGGAGAAGGCTATGCATGGTATTTATGTGTGTATGTGTCATGGTTTGAAATAATGAGCATGAAGATGATCAACTCAAAATCCAAATACTATTCATATCACAAGAATATTATTTATAATTTACCCAAGTTACTAATACAAATGCCCAATAGTTAAAAGATACTTTCCACTATCCTTACTTCTATGATGTACTCTAATCTTTCAAAAGTCTATTTTCGCCGGGCAGTGGTGGCGCACGCCTTTAATCCCAGCACTTGGGAGGCAGAGGCAGGTGGATTTCTGAGTTCGAGGCCAGCCTGATCTACAGAGTGAGTTCCAGGACAGCCAGGACTACACAGAGAAACCCTGTCTCAAAAACCAAAAAAAAAAAAAACAAAAAAAAACAAAAAAAAAAACAAAAGTCTATTTTCAAAAGTCTGGAACTAGAGATGGCTCCGTGGCTAAGAACACCGGCTGATCTCCCTCTGGAAGACTGACCTAGGTTCAATTCCTAGCATTCTTTCCTACCAGGACAAACTCCTGTTATTCTATTCTAACACATTCAACATATTTTCCTCTGTCTGACACCAAGGAAAAGTCATTCCCATGGGACTGCATCAGAAAGACAGAGGACTATACCACTTAGTTTAAATTTTATGCATGTATGTATGTATGTATGTATGTATGTACGTACGTACGTACGTACCTACCTACCTACCCACCCACCCTGAAGAGTTTGAGGCAAGGAACTGGTGTACTGAGCACTGATCCATGCTTAGCTCCAGTGATAAATAATAAAGACACAGGGTCTGTCCGCCTCAAAGTGCTTAAAATGGGAGAATCAGACATGTAAACAAATTGCTACATTGCACATATTTGCTAAAATAAAGGTGTGAAATAAATGTTCCAAGAAACATAGAATATAATATCCAATGGTTCACAACATCCTCATTTAGTCATCACCTTCCTTCCCCCAACTCTATTTCAGAGGAACATGTTATTAAAAAAACAAGTTCTATAAGCTTAACTACCACAGAGTCTGGGCCAAACTGTAATTGTATTGGAAGGTGTGTGTGTGACTGAACCCAGGGCCTTAGATACCCTAGACAAATGCCATAGCAGTGAGCTACATCTTGAGCACTAACTGTGAGGTTACATGGGAAGGATCAAAAGCTGATGTCATCCTGAAGCAACTTATCACCAGTGAAAGGATCACGATGTGAACCACAGCTGGGTAAATGGATGAGCAATTTACAATGACTGATGGCTCCTGAGTGTCCTCTTAGGCTCTAGTAAGACTATATTTTAAAAATATTTTTTATTGTCTCTTTCCTTCAAAAGTTATTTGTATAAAACCATACATTACACATAAAAAAGAAAATAGAATTCCACCGACCAGAGAAAAATGGTACGATATTCATGTATTTATTCAGGACATTTCCTATGCATTGCATTCTGATGCTTCTTTTCTATTGCACTCTAGTATGAACTGTCCTATGTTCTTATTTTTAACCAACACCACTTCATGACACTAAGCATATTCCAAATCACCAATAATTTTCTTCAGTATTACTATTAAATGTATAGTATGGCATACTATAGGATATATAACTTAGCAAATGGCAGTTATACAACATTGTGTTTGCTTTTAATTTCTCACCAGTATAAGCAACTTTTAAAATAGTCAATTCTTTGTACAAAGACTTGATGTTTTCTTTAAGACACATGACAGAACCAGCCTTTCTGGGAAAAAGGCCATGTGGATTTGGGACATCTGATGGGTCAGACCTATTCATGCTTACAAGCCGCTGTCCCTTCCCTATGCTCTGACCAATAATGGCCAATCATCTGTACAGCCTTAAATGCCTTTAAAACCTTCACGTATCTAATAAATAAAACCTGGAAGATTTCTATTTTATTTGCACTTCTTTTGGTTTCTATGGAAGCCAAACATTTTGGTATGCTCAATGACCAACATTTCCTTCTTTCTGAATTCCCTGCGTATTTGTCTACTTCTTCCATTTCAGGTCTGGTACTCTTCTTATTAAAGCTGTTTGGCATATGTCTGTGTAGGCACTTAACTTATACATATGTGTAAATATGAAGATTCCTCTGTTGAACAAGAATATATGCTGTGCAAGTATGCGCATGTACATAATTAGGGGAAATGTATACATAAACTATACCTGTACTTTCTATTTACTTGAGATGCTCGTTGTGTCTACTGAACCAACAGATTTAACACTGAAACTCATTAACCTTTTCTTGTGTTTTAAAATTCTCAAACTTAATTATTTTTTCTAACATTTATAGATTTTTATTTTTAAATATCTGTTGTTGGAAAAGGGCCTACAACTGTATGTATGTTGTTCTCATGCTATTTCTTGTCCAAGGTTATGAGCTGTCAGTTTAAAAAGTTTAGTGAATAAGTGTATATGTTCAATTTATCAGCACCCATATCAGACTTGACCAACAGTTACATAGCACTTTAGTTTGAACTTAGAAATATCCACCTAGATATTTAATGCAGAAAGAAAAGCAGCAGTGAAATGAGTTAATACACATTGTTTCACCTCAGTAAAAATGTGCTTCATTTGGGCCTGTTTGTTCCTGAAGCGTTTGATCTTCTGTGCGATGCGCGGATCCTTTTCCAGCTCTTCCATTGTGGCCCATTTACAATGTAAATAGGAACTATCCAAAGACATACAATTGTGAGACAAACATAACAAAATATCATTAAGGTTTCAATAAAAAGGATGGGCATCCTTTATACACAGAAGCAGCAGCTGTCTGTTGTGACACTGCTGGGTACTGCTTAGAAAGGCCTTGTTTTTAGAACAATTAATATAGGATTAATTTCTAATCACTAATTTCTATCCAAGTTCCACTGAAACTGACTCAGAACAGACAAAGGGGCAGATTTATGGGGCAAACTATCAGTGAAAGTAGGCAGACAGCCGAAAGGAGAAATGGAAGAGGGAAAAATACACACCATTGAACAGCTTCACCTTGGGTGCACATGAGAAATGGCCAGGGAAGTTTTAAAAACACTTCAGTCCTCAGGGCACACTCTGACTATAAGTAACTGGTCTGGGCTGGACAAGGCCTTTGGTAGTTTTTAAAGCCTCCCAGGTGATTCCATATAAACCCAAAATGAATAACACTGCCTAAGGTGAATTTGACTCAGGCAAGATCAATGCCTTAGGGGCAGTTTCTGGAAATACAGACGATAATGAAGTGTCATGGGAAAGGAAATTTTATTCATATAAAATTCAAATACATGTAGTGTATCAAACAGACGTACAAATTTCTATACTTAACGTAGAAAAGCTCTAGGTCGAATGGAGGTTCTCCTGGGTGAACCTGTAACCAATAATAAGCAGTTATCAGCCCATACCCCAGGAAGGTCACTTATATAGGCCAAATCAAAACAGGTAAACCAAGCAATACCTATGCCTTATTTTAGGAGGAATTTCTGGGAGGAATTTCTATTATCCCAGGTCTTTTCTTACAAGCTAATAGGTAACCTTAATCCTAACTCTAAATTTTCCAAAACCCCAATAGTATAAAGGGGCACGAAAGGGGCCTTTTCCTGGCATCTTTTCAATGTTCATATGGAAAACGCTTTCCGCCCAGGCTGTCCCAAGACCCAGAAATGTATGGATCACAGCCTGGTGCAGAAAAAATTTAAGTTCATCTTTTACTGGCTTCCCCTGATATTCTCTCTCCACAGGGCAATAAGCCTACATTGAAGGAAAGATAACCTACATCTGATATGGCACCACCATACTGGCCCAGTCACTGAACTTTCTCTTGAGGAGTCCAAAGACAGCCCAAGAGATCTAAAGAAAAGCCCCCAGTGTTTCTGGTTGGGATTCCTCATCCACCTGTTCTTGGGCCCTGATGAGTTCTTTTGGGCTACAGCAAAGGGATAAAAATACCTTTGTTAGGGTCTTAATGGAGAAAACTATCAACTGAGCCACTTAAGACATTCAAGAACTTAGTGTCCTAAAATCCTCCACAAGGACAACGTTCTTGACAAGCTCTCACTGTAGCTAAGGACTAACGTTAGTTCTCCAGGCAAACCCTTCTCTACTAGGAGGTAGTGTCTGTCAGTGACAGAGAACATCAGAAAGGAGCTACCAACCTCTTGGACAGTCTTGGATGCTAGGATCTTCTCAATTATGTTTGCATCATCTTCTGGAGGCTCCTGAAGACAGAGATTAAAAAAAAGTTATTGGAAATAATGTCTCAGAGAATAACTCTAAGCGGAGGCTGAGTTTGGAGGACTTTCTAGAGTTCAGGATTTTGGAGACCTGTGTAGATAACTGCCAGAACAGGTCTGACCACCTGACTTGGATCCCGGGTACCACAGTGGAAGAAGACTGATGCCTGAAAGTTGAAAGTGTGTTCGCGCTCTCTCGCGCTCTCACTCTCGTGCGCTCTGCTCGCGCTCTCTCTCTCTCTCTCTCTCTCTCTCTCTCTCTCTCTCCCTCCCTCCCTCCCTCCCTCCCTCCCTCCCTCCCTCAAGAGATACTAAAAATAAATTTTAAAATGAAAAAAAAAAAAATCACAGACTTTGAGTATTGAGGCCTCCCTAAGAAAGTTGGTAAGTATTTTGCAAAGCTAGAATTCAAACAGTAGGGTTCTAAGCTCTCATGCATAGTCCTTATTATACAAGCAGAAGAGACTCTGGGCTGTAAGGCTAAAGAACTAATAAAACTGCTCCTGAGACTTTTTTTTATTTGTAAAAGTTACACATTTTGATATATAAAATTATCTAAAATAGAAAAATATCTCAGGATGGGGGTGGGCACAGTGGCTAAAGCCACTTGCTATAAAACTTAACCAGAGTTTGATCCTACAACCCTATGTCGGAGAGCACTGACTTTCACAAATTGTTCTCTGACCTCCATCCATCATGTGTATGCATGATATAAATAAATAAATAAATAAATAAATAAATAAATAAATAAGGGGCTAGAGAGAGATGGCTCAGTGGTTAACAGCACTGACTGCTCTTCCAGAGGTCCTGAGTTCAATTCCCAACAACCACATGGTGGCTTACAATCATTTATAATGGGATCTGATGGCCTCTTTCTGTGTCTGAAGACAGCTACAGTGTGTGCTTATATGTAAAGTAAATAAATAATTCTTTAAAAAAATATGTAAATAAATGTAACAAAATTAAATTAAAAAGTACCTTGAGATTTTAGAATTCATGAGATATTAATTTTAATACTATCAACTGCTGACCTCAGCAAAGTTAATTACTATTCCTTGGTTTCTGAATAATGGCTATAGAAAAAATATATATATTACCAGTTTACTAGGATAAAACAGCACATGAAAACATTTTGTGAACTATAAAACCAAGGTATAATTAACTTACATTAAACTGCTGTTTCACTGATAATTCCAACAGAAAATCTATTCCTTCCTTCCTATCCTAGTCACACACCAAACTTTCCAGGCCCCTGATTTCCACAAAATCTTAAAGAGTACTCATGATATAGAAACATCTGAGTGGAAACCGGCAGTCTTAGAAGGGATTGTGTGTTAGAGTTCCCCATGTTCAGCCTTCTTTCTGAATTCTGTGCAGTCTCCTTTTGGTGTTTTCATGTGTTCTATGACCTTCCCAGACCCACTGCAATCTAAAACTTGAAGAAGTATAGAAAAGAATATTCACTATGACAACTTAACTAGCTGGAACATTCCAGAAAGACGATTTGTGCTGCATGTCAATTTCAAGCTACTTATTCTAAGTAAGGTTCAACTATCCCAAAGGCCATACTACTAGAGAAAACATTTATAAAACAATCTTAAATCAAGCTTTTTTTTTCAGAAAAAGAAAAGTGATGATAGTTAAAAACACAGTAAGGAAAGACGAGGAAGGCAAATGGCAGTGAAATGATGACGCTTACCCAGCTCCCAGAACCTCAGCCTGGAGACGTGGCTACCAGCAAGCCCGTTATCTGCCTGTCTAGTGCCCTTAGAGCTGAGGTTATAGGTGTTTGTGGGGGGTTCCTGGCTTGTTATGTGGGCACTGGGACCAGAACATGGGTTCTCATGATTGCAAGGCAGCTGCTTCTTAACCACAGAGCCCTCTATAATAACAGTGTGTCCTTTACTTAAAACACACTTTAATCCACCCTAGTCACATTTCCAACGCTCAACAGGCACACGTGGTTGTCAATGTCTATACCAGGCGATATAGTTCTATTCTGTTCTACCGATCTATCAGCCTATCTTCACAGCAAAACTAATGTCTTTATTCTGATAGCTTAATTATCAAGTTTCCACTATTTTTCCTGTTTACATTTGGTAACATATTTATACGCAAGGGCATCATCTTTACAGCAGATGAGTACACAGAATGGAAGCAAATCAAAGTAGAAAAAAGTATGAAGAAAAGGGAGGTAGGATTATGTATCAGTTTAATGATCTTTACACTAGGAATAATAAAATGAAAGCGGGGACAGCAAGGAACATAGTAGTAACCAGTGTGTGGGCTGCAGATGGGATGGAAACTTCAGGAGTGCAGGCTCCCACATTAGGTCTTGCTGCAGGCTGACAGCAGAGAGTCCAGTCATGTATCTCACTGACCCTGGAGTCCAAAGCCTAGCTAGACTGGTTAGTAAATGTGCTTCCAGAATCTGCTTTTCTCTGTCCCCTTCCCTAAGTACTAGAGTTACAAGCCAAACGCTACCTGGCTTTTATGTGGGTGCTGAGGATCCAAGTAAAGCCTTCATGCTTGTACAAGCACTCACCAACTAAGCTAACTCCACAGTCTCAAACTTTCACTTCTCTGCTTTTCTATGATGGCCAGGTCCTCTAGTGTTCTTGATAATATAAATGACTATATTGACAGCTGTCTTCTCACTCCCAAATTCTAAGGCAATATATTAAATACTGTACTATTTAATATTAGCCATATTTCCCCCCAATTACCCATATTAGCTCTTGAAATGTCATCTTTGGTTTCCAGAATATAAGCTATGCCTAGGTAAAATTTTTCTTGATATATTCTTCCTGCTTAAGGTTCACCAGACTGAGCATCTATTGCTGATATTTTTATCAGTTTATTAAACTCGGCCAATGATTTCATCTTCGAATGTTGCTCTGCTCACGTTTCTTTTCTGTTTAGGAGTACAGTCAGAAACGCCTTTACGCTGAATCCTGCTTCTCTTCCTGTGCTATTTAGAAAATTTCATTGATGTCTTCATATTCACTAACTGTATCTTCAGTTGTATCTAAGCTGCTTTTAAATTTGTCCACGTATCCTGAATCTTATGCAGTGATTTCATAATTCTAAATACTGATCAGGCTCAGTTCTCTATTGGAAATGTATGTTGTCCATTTTCCCCATAATAAATCATCCACAGTTCTTTTCAGGAGAGAGGGGCAGATGATGCCATCTAGTCAGCTGAGCTGGGTCAGGCCTGGGAAACTGTTAACATTAATCCAAAGGCGAAAGGGAAGGAAAAAAAAATCTCAACATTTCTAAACCATTCAAAACAGCATTGAACAATGCTTTTGCAATCTATCCTTTTCTGATTAAACACTGGCTTACTATGACCTAATGCACCTTTTCCAGTATCTTAACTAGGTTTCCATTGCTGTGAAGAGACACCATGATAAAGGCAACTCTTATAATGGACAACATTTAGTTGGGGCAGGCTTACAGGTTCAGAGCTTCAGTCCATTATCATCAAGGAGTGAAGTATGGCAGCCTCTAGGCAGATATGGTGCTGGAGGAGCTGAAAGTTATACATCTTGTTCCAGAGGAAAACAGAAGACTGTCTTACCAGGCAGCCAGGAGAAGGGTTTCAAAGCCCACCCTCACACTGACACACTTCCTCCAACAAGGCCATACCTCCTAATATGCCACTCCCTGGGCCAAGCATATTCAAACAACCACACTCAGCAGGGGAAACCTTCTGACATTCATTTACATTAATTAATTAGGTGCAGGAGGTTTCAGTTTAAGGTTCTTTCTCCCCTTTTTTCTTTCAACACTAAATTCAAAATGATCTCATCTAGTATCATGATTTTACAGACTAGCTTCATTGTGACGCTTGCCAAACTCACACATCCAGATCAAAACTTCTTTCCAAACTGCAGACTCATATTCTAATTATTTCTTGCCATCTTTACTAAGCTATCTTAAGGTATTCAAATATAAATTTCTGAAAACTAAAGCCACGATGCTTCAATCCACTGTTTTGTTTTTTTATCCATCTGAGCAAGGAAACTCTACCTTCTCTGGTGTTCAGCTCCAAAATCCTGATGTGATCTCTGACTGTTTCCTCTCCACACAGCCATGTGCAGTGGCCTGAATGAGAACACCCTCCACAGGCTCATACACAGGCGTGCTAAGTCCCTAGACTGGATTCTTTGGAAAGCTAGGAGGTATGGTCTTAGAACAGGTGTGGCTTTTTAGGAGAGGTGTGCTGATGAGAGTGGCTTTTGAGAGTTCAAAAACCCAGTGTCTTTCTCTGCCTGCCTGTAGACAGATGTACAGATGTACAAGATGTAGCTCTCAGCTACTACTCCAGCGCCATGCCTGCTGTCAGAACGCTCTAAAATCATAATCTGTTCAAGCCCTGTTCAGTACAGATTAGCAAGAAGCATTCACTGAATTCACTGACACACATACATGCTGAAAATAATGCTTTCTTTTTCTACTTACTATCAACTGCTTCAAATATTATTTTATTTTTACCTAAAAAAAGAACAAGTAATATGGTTTCTAATGACAAGATTCTTAAAGAGTATTTTAGTAAGACCAAAACTCAGGACATATTAATACATGGATGAGGAAGGTACAAGATTTAGAAAGCATAACACATTCATAGAACATAAAAAAAATTCAAGTTAAAAAGACTTGGGAATTCAATTCCAGTAAGTATATATTCATATATATTTTTAACCAGTTGAAGGATCAGTACCAGATGAATTGATGTTATAACAAGACATTTAAGGCATAACCAATACTCAGGTAACAAAATAGAAGTACTCTGGCTACCTTTGCTCAAGTCTCTGTTCCACCAGAATAAAAATCATTATAAACCTCTCATTTATCTAAATTTTTTCAGTTTTGCTATCCATGTAAGCATTTCCAAATGACAAACTTTAAACAAAACACTGAGAATCAAGAAGCCAAATATGGTGGCACACACCTATAACTCCAGCCTTCTGGGGAGGGTG